CCAGTGTATACCACAGAGCCCCTATTTCCTACTAGGTGAGAGAGGGGAATTTTAGCAAATATATGCAATATTTGTATTTTAAAATCTGTCAACATTCAGTGAGGCTTGTATTGAGCCTTGGGAAAAAAGTATTATTTAAATGACTAAAGAGGGAAAAGAAGAGCCATTTTGAAAAAGAATGAGTCTGCTTTAGAAAAACGTGGGGGTAAAATTGAGCAAAGCCCAGTGAGTTGTCCGGTCTGATGAGGCTATAGGTGGGTATAGAAGAGCAGAGAGAAAGAAAGGTGGACAGATGGGGTGGGCCAAATCACAGAGGACTATAAAAGCTATGCACAAAATAATTGAGAATTAATATATTAGAAAATTTTGTTCACAAATAAGGTCCTACACTATAGCACAGGGAACTATACTCAACACCCTTTGATAAATCATAATGAAACAGAATATGAAGAATATATATTACATACATATATAACTGAGTCACAAACTAATACAACACTGTAAATCAACTATACTTCAATAAAAATTTTAAAAAGAAAGCTTTGCTTGATAACAATGAACAGATAAAATGGAGAGAAGCGAAAACTGAAGGGAAGGCAGATCGGATGGGAGGTAACGTCCGGCCCAAACCTTCCAGGTCAAAGTATATGTAAAAAATAGAATAAAATGCATCAAATTGAAATGACAAGATTCTCCAATTGGCTGCATATGGAAGTTAGAATTTCCACATGGTTCCAATATCCAAGAGGCAGGAAAGTATAGAAGCACTGACAAAAGACACATGGTTTGAGAACTGGTTTGAGAAAATAAGAGATTCATAAGGAACATTTTCTAGGCAGTTGGGAGCACAGCTCTAGAATACAGAAGCAGGCACAGTAACTAACCTAAAGTTCAAGGCATGGGAAAGGACGCCTCAACAACAGCTGATGCTGTAGGACAGAATCCGTTTGCTGCTTTTTCCAGCTTCTAGAGATCATCTACATTCCTTGGCTCGTTGGTCCTTTCCTCCATGTTCAAAATCAACAGCACAGAATCCTCACATATCTCTGATTCTGAAACTTTTGCCTCCCTTTCCCACTTAGAAGGAGCATAAGTTCATCCAGATAACCCAGGATAATCTCACCATCTCAAGATCACATTTGAAAAGCCCTTTTTTTTTCTTTTTTTTTGTTTGGTTGAGTAACGCATTCAGAGGTTCCAGGGAACAGAATGTGGGCGTTGTTGGAAGAGTCATTATTCTGTGTACCACAAAGTCTAAACATCAGAAACAGAACTGACTTTGACTAAATTCTTGTGCATCAGTTTACCTTCAGTTTAAATGACATGTGAGATTAATTCATTAACTATAAGATGAAAATAACATTTTCAATGGAGTTTTTCCATTAGTCTATTATATTCTGCTGAAAGGTCTTTAAGTTAAATGTTAAAATTCATGTTGTAAAATTCCATTTAAAGATCCTTAGGTAGCAATAAAAAAATTGATAGCTTTCTGCCAGTAGCAATATTTTGATGAGCCTATTTTTGATTGAAACTAGATTTTATATTAAAGAAATCACTCTTGGCAGCATCTTATGCTGTTATTTATTTTGTCCATTTTTTTCAAAAGTTAAATGTCCTATGAAGTAGTCTTCACAGCAAGACAAGCATTTTTCCTTTGTACACATTTATAACATGTGCATTTTAAACTAATAGTGATGTAAAAACATATTTCAATTTCTCCCACTATTACTTTCCTTAATAATGAACAAAACTTCTGTGAAGATTACATAATATATGTAAAGCTGTAGCACAGCTGCTGACCCACAATAAGTAGATTTTCAATAAATTTTTGGTGTAATCCAAAATATATTTCAGGAGATTTGGTCACTAATATTGAAACTTATTTTCATAAATACTACAAAGCAATAAATACTATAGACAGTATTTCTGACTAAACTTACCAAATTCTCAAGATTTCATTTCTCTACAAAACAGAAAAAGATTAATATGAAAATTCAATTCCAATAACTTTTTAATTTAAAATGGTGTTTTATAATTAACTATTCAGTCCAGTTTTCACATGGGCACATAAAATGATAGCATTAAGGCTTTCTCTTTAATTCTATCTAAAGGTGCCAGTATATTGTGAGGGAATTTTTGCTCACTTCATATGTTCAACATAGCATATTCAGAGTTAAAGTCAAGCTATTCAGAAGATCAGCTAAAAGCAAATCAAGAAGACGGCAGCACTATAAGACACAGAGGTCAAAAACTAAAGTTTTTCAAGTGGTTATAATTCACCTTCAAGTTACACTATATCAAACTTCTTCCTGTAATCCTGTTCCTCTCTAACTCTTTTAAATAATGTTCCTGGGCTTTCACAGGCTGTTTTCTTTTTGTGAGGTTGTCAAATGATCTCTGTCTTGCCTTGGGAAATTTAAGAGACTTTTATGTAGCTCTTTGAGAGACTATCACACAAGTCCGATTAAGAGGATAATTTACGAGGTTCAAAATGAAGGGTCATTATTAATACTGTCTTGCCTGTAATGAATACATAGGCTCTCTCATTCATGCGTGGCAAGGTTTTAACTAGATCAAAAGATGTACAGGCTTTTAAATAAAGTACTGTGAATGATATCATTGGTTACATAAGCTTGCTTTATGTTTTTTTAAAAATATGATTCTTTAATGAGATTAGAGAACTCTAAGAATATATGTCTTACAACAAACTTTGGAAAATTCTTAGAGAGATGGGAATACCAGACCACCTGACCTGCCTCCTGAGAAATCTGTATGCAGGTCAGGAAGAAACAGTTAGAACTGGATACGGAACAACAGACTGGTTCCAAATGGGGAAAGGAGTACATCAAGGCTGTATATTGTCACTCTGCTTATTTAACTTATATGCAGAGTACATCATGAGAAACACTGGGCTNAAGGGGATGACAGAGGATGAGATGGCTGGATAGCATCACCAACTCTATGGACGTGAGTTTGAGTAAACTCCGGGAGTTGGTGATGGACAGGGAGGCCTGGCTTGCTACAGTCCCTGGGGTCACAAAGAGTTGGACATGACTGAGCAACTCAACTGAACTGAACTGATGGGCTCATCTGTAACTTTCACACAAACCTTTCTTTGGCTGAAAACACAATTTCACCAGTTATGGTTTTAGACATCCGTAGGGTAACATCTAGTCATTTTTTCATAATATAAAATAATATGCAGAGTAAGTCTTCTCCACTATGAAGCTAAATGCAAAAGGAGCCAAGTGAGTGCATTTTCTCAGCTTTGAAGAGAAGTTAATTTTTAAGTGTTTTTACATTATCAAAGTACTCCTGACTTGTGTTCAACAATCATTAATACTAATGATGTTTACGTAACTAGAAGAAAATAGCACTTTTCCTTACCATTTCAGTACCCAATGCCTTTTTTTTTATTACAACAGACAAATCTAATTACTACTTCTTCTGATTAATCTCAATGGATAAATAATTACGTTCTAGGCAAACTGAAATCCTCCATGTTTCCATGAGAACTGATTTTTTATAGGCACATATGTAGGGGATAACAAATGAGAAAATAGAGTTACTTTTAGTAGTTGGGCAACTTGTAATAGAAAAAAATGTTTGAGTATCTTTATTTGTGTATGCTTTATTAAATAGATCCTGTCAATCTGAACTCTATGCTCTTATCTAAAAAAATCTCTCTTCCTTCTCTCATTTTCTTACCTAAATCCTGTCAGTGTGTCCACCCCCTTTTTCATCTGTGCATGTTTTATGTTCCCACATGTAATCTGAGCTCTGTCACCCACAACACTTAGCCTCATGCCTTGAATATTTTTAGAAAATAGCTAATATTTATTGAATTTTTGCTATGTGCTGGATGCCATTCTAAGACTATTAGTCTCCTAAGTCAGCCTTGAAAGGAGATGAAATAGGTACCATTGTTATCTTCACTTTATAGAGAGGGAAGCAGAAATCCACAACAGTTAAACAGTCTGGTCAACCCTGAGTCTAAACCTGGCTTTATAAACACTGTCCTGCTTCCAGAGACCCTGTATGGGTAAATCTCCCCATGATCAACTTTCGGAGCACCAAGTCCTTCTTGCTAACCTTCGCTACTGTTAGGATTTTGCATTTGCTTTTCTGGTTTTTGCTTTTTTTTTCTCCATTAATGTCTACATCTTCCACTGTGCCCAGAACATGTTACTAGAAGCTGTGGTATTTAATAGATGAGCAACAGCAGCTAATACTTATAAAGTTTTTGCCATGTGCCAAGCACTGCATCTTATTTTAATCTTCAGAAAGACTACCAGTTGTCTGTTTTATACATGACATCAGTCATATACATATGTCGATCCCAATCTTCCAGCTCCTCCCACCTCTTCCCTTTCCCCCTTGGCATTCACACATTTGTTCTCTACATCTGTTTCTCTATTTCTACTTTCCAAAAAAGAGCATTTATACCATTTTCTAGATTCCACATATATGCATTAATATACAACATTTGCTTTTCTCTTCTACTTCACTCAGTATGACACTCTCTAGCTCCATCCACATCTCTACAAATGACCCAATTTAATTCCTTTTTATGCCTGAGTAATATTCCACTGTTTATATGCACCAGCTTTAGAGATGAAGACACTGAGACAGACAGAGGTTAGGAACTTGCCCAAGGTCACACACCTGGTAAGTGGGGGGCCAGGGTTTAAGTTCAAAGGCCAAACTCCAGAGATATGCTCTGAAAGAAATGAAGGAATGGATCAATAACCATTTAGCCTGGAGGGGCAGGGAAAGCTGTAGAGAGGAGATGACATGTGACATGCCTGGAAGGGTGAGAAGGAAAAGACAGATACAGTATAGGCAGAGGAAACGACATGGAGAAAGCACCGTACGGCAGGGTGCCTGGAGCTCACTAAATACAAATGGGCGAATGAGTAGCTTTACCGCAAATGCATGTAAAGGTTTTGCACATGTAAATGCTTTATTATTAACAGTCTCTGCACATTTTTTCCTTCCAGTGCCACCGTGGGCCTTAATTGCCATAGCCATCGTCGCGGTCCTTTTGGTTCTGACCTGCTGCTTTTGCATCTGTAAGAAGTGCTTGTTCAAAAAGAAAAACAAGAAGAAGGGAAAGGAAAAGGGAGGGAAGAATGCCATCAACATGAAAGACGTGAAAGACCTGGGGAAGACCATGAAAGATCAGGTAATGTATTCATTCCATATTTCTTCTTATATTATTTTATTAAAAACTTAAGAATAGACAGTTTGTTATTTCATGCCAAATGAAGACATAAACAATATCCAGACACTTGCCAGTGTGATAGAAATGTTTTGCAAACCTTTCAGTCATTGCTCAACATCCAAATTACAATGGAAATAAGCGATAGTTTTAATCTCCTAAGCATATGCAGTTCTACCCTACTTGAAAGCAATTTGTTCTTCTCCGTCTATAGCATTCTCTAGGCAATAATACTGAAGTGGGTAGCTATTCCCTTCTCCAGGGGAATCTTCCTGACCCAGGGACTGAACCTCCATCTCCTGCATTGAAGGCAGATGATGCAGGTTATAAAATCCATCTGCCTGAGTTATCCTCCCAAGGCTGAGGACTGCTCCTTGACACCAGCGGTCCCTGACCTTTTTGGCACCAGGGGACAGTTTTGTGGAATACAGTTGTTCTATGGATGGGGATGAGGGGCTGAGGAGGGCGCAGGCCGTACCGCGAGTGACGTGGGGCAGCAGATGAAGCTTTGCTCAGGAGCCACTCACCTCCTTCTCTGCAGCCCGGTCAGTGGCCCGGGGTTGGGAACCCCTGCTTTACACCATTGTCTATTTTTCCTAGACTAGATGATTTGGTTGAGAATAAAGTCTACTATTAATAGTTATAATAATTAAATGCCCCTTCACTTCCTTTTTTGGAATCATATTCATTTTGGAATATTTCTAAAGAACACTTATTTCATATAAAAAGTAAATGTAAAGATTTTTCAAAGATACTATTTTGAGTTATCATTGTTTCCCTTCAAATAAATCAAAATTTCTATTTATTCCCTAATAGCAACATATATAGGTAGTTGTATAAATTCTTCTTATAGTATTACTATTAATTATACTCTTAAATATGTGTATCCCCTTAAGAATAGTTTAGTTAAGGAGGACCTTTTTAGTACATTTGCATAGTTATCCACACAGTCAGGACACTAATCCCTCTCCCCAGCTTTAGTTTGAAACACTTTTCTCAAAGACACAGTAATGTTTCTTGAAAATGTTTGCACAAAGGCTCATTTTCTAACTGTTGCTTGGTTTCAGAGCTATAGAACGAATACAATACTTGCATTTCCATTCAGAGAGCTTCATTCTGAGCTTAGTATCAAAGGTTACATTTTTCTCAAAGTTCCTAACCACAGCCAGAGGAGCCCAGGCCCGCATGTTCAACCACAGATGTCTAAGAAGGATTTTTCTTTTTGGCTAATTTGTTACATAGAAACTAAGTTTCTATGTTGACATAATTTGTTACATAGAAACATAAGTTTTAAATCATGTCTTGCTTATTTCATCATTTTGTGTAACCAGCAAGACTTGATAGATTTCTTTAGACAACATATTTGGGAGATGAAATGTAGTAAAAATCTTCTAGATTGACATGGATGGTCTAAATAATTTGTATGTGAATTTCATCTGTATCTATGAAACAAACTGGAAACATAATACTATCATTTTCATATCTTCAATAAAATTCAAATGTGGTTTTCATGTATGCTAGAATTAATGGTTAAAAGCACTAAATAATGTTAAATGATTACTACAGCCTTTCTTCCTAGGACAAGAAATTTGTATTTTTCTTTGTGGAATTTGTTCTGTAGGATGTAAGACTGTAATTTATAGCATAGTAGCGGTGTTTATTACCCCTGTTATGACATGGATAAATGACCAAGATCTCAAAACAGTAAATACAGAGAGAACTGATGGTTGATTTTTCATTGCTCACCAAGTCTTTTGGATGAGAGGGGAAGAGTAATGAGTCAAATAAGAAAATACTAGGGAGTCATTGATAGTTTATAACAATCTACCATTACAATATAGCATTTAGAATTTCAACAACTCAAAAGGTGTTTTTTAATCATTTTAAGTAGATCATTTTGTCTACTAGGATTTTATAGGTCTTATTTTAACTTATTACCAATTAAATGTACAGAAGAAAATATAATTTGAGCAAGTGAAAATAGGCCCCATTGATAAAGTTATATAATAATAGCTTATGCTACTTTATAAGGAGATAAAAGTAACCAATTGATTTCTATCACTTTTTGGGGGAATACATGTAAATCCATGGCTAATTCATTTCAATGTATGACAAAAACCACTGCAATGATGTAAAGTAATTAGCCTCCAACTAATAAAAATAAATGGAAATTAAAAAAAAAAAAAAGACAGGATAACGCATCAGAACAAAATGTACAGATTTTAAGATGCCATGTCACATGGTGATCATCTGATCATCCAAGTTCAAAATAGCATAAACAAGGTTAAATTATTCTTTACTTACATTTTCAAGCAAGTTTAGACAAAATACTGACATAAACATGAGGAAAGCAATAGTGATAACCTATGGCTCTTCATATCTAGAAAGTAGACAGGTATAAGAGGCATTTTAGATATGCTTTCTTAAGATACCTACGCTCTAGGAGAAATCAGTAAGTTTTTACCATTTCATTCCATATAAGAACTCATATAAATTCAAAGCTCAATAATCATGACTATGTCTCTTTGATAAGATTTTATAACCAGGGAAGAATTTTTAAATAGACAACAAAATGGTAATGATAGATAGTATTTTTATACAGCAAAGGATATATATTTAAAGGTTTTTAATGGTTTAAAACTTAAAAGCACTAAAAATAGACAGGGGCAATTTCAACTTGCAAAGTCAGAAGTCTGGAGAGGTCGTTTCTCCATGGTTTTTACTAACGTGTGTGGATAAATAAATTTTTATTTCTTCCTTCTGTGTCCTCCCTACGTGTGTTGTGTCTCATGACTGTTCGGGACTGTCCCTTGCGGTAGGTTTTCTCTCCTATCAGACACCCCTAAGTCAATGCTCAGATACATTTAGTGGCCTGGCAGCTGGGGCTCCACAGCTAAGGGTGTACCATTCTGACACACGTCAAAAGGCTGAACTAAATTGATTTTTTTTTTAAGATAAAGGGTTCTCATTTTAAACATTACTGATTAAAGAGAACAGTATTAGAAAGCTCAAGTTTCAATTGATGGGCACAGAAAGAAAATTCAGTGTCTTGTGCTGCCTTTTTAGTGTGCCTTATCAATTCCAAGTTCCAGTTTAACTCAGCACGGACAAAGCACCTTCTGATGGTTTATCCAAGTACAACTAAGTACCTTTTGAATGTTGAATGAAGCCAGAAGCATATGCCCTAAATCTTTGCAATTTATAACAAAGTCTTTTTCCCAACACAGTTTTTTCTTGTATAGTTTATCAAACTCTGAGAACTTCTGGGCGCACATGCCTTTTCCTCTGCATTTTGTTAGGGGTAGGGGGTAGGAACTATTGCTCTTTAGATATTATAATAACTACTGATTTAATAGGTCTGAATTTAATGTAAAGGTACAGAAAATGTCTTGCTTAAGCTCAGCCTTTGGCATAAGAATAGACTTAATCACATCGGAGATGAACAGTGACACTGAGAAATTATCAAAAATTTAGCCCTATTTCATGCAGAATAATTGCAGAGATGGTCTTGCACCTTTTATTAGTGTAAAAACCACTTAGGGAAAAGGAGATTTAATATCTCAACTCTTTCAAATTACACTGAGCTGAAATATGATATGTAAATTGTCAGTTCTGAAAGAGAATTTGAAAAAGTATTTTAATCCATGAAAATTTTTATGTTTATGGTGGAATAGTGTGAAGATTTTTTTCAGGCAAAAATGTGCATTAAATAGTTTTCCATTCAAAAAATTAAAATCTTACTGGAAGCAAATTACCTACATTGCCATTTTCTAAACACATCTTTTTCACAGTGTTAAAGACCTACACCCAGCTGGTTTTGAAAAGGCAATGTGGGTTCCCTGCCTTAAGTCCTCCAGTTAAACTCAGTAGTCTTTTCTTGTCACTTTACTATTATTTTTCTGTTAGCAATACCTTCAAGCTAAAAGATTAATTTTTAAATAATTATGTTGATCTCCTTGGGCTATTGGTAAATCAACATTTTACTATTCAAGGAGACAACCAAGTATAAACTTCCAAATAAAATGGGGTATGGCTAACCAGTTCTGAAAGGTTTCTGCACAGATGTAATAATGGCAATTTTCCAAAGTCATTGTGGGCTCCTGAAATTTTTCAGGAAGCACAAAATGGGAAGCATCTCTGACTACAGTTCATCTCTCTGTTTATGCAATCTTCCCACCCAAATGAGTTCTAGTAAGCTGATGCCAAGTCTGATTTTTAGGATCAGATTATAGTTAAATAAGTAGAGCCAAATTGCACAGTCTTGTCAGTTCGGAGACTGAGGCTGCCGTTTTGAGGCATCTCTGCAGGTCTCTGTATAAATGGATAAGTGAAGAGAAACCTTTCTCTGAGCAGAGAAAAGAGACTGTGTATTCTGAGTGGGAGGGGGGAGATGGGGGGTAGACCTGTAGTCTAGTGACTCTGAAGCCTTTCTGAAGCCTGGTTATATCTCTTGCATTTGAGTTCTACAAGAGCTCTCAGATTTAATTTGATCACTGATAAGAGTTTGGCTTTTTTTTTTAATTTTGTCAGATATTAAGCAGCCCACCACTCATATGTCTTATCTACAATTTTGTTAGATTCTTCAGTAACACACACATACACACACACACACACACACAAGGCAATGAAAATGCCATAACCAAAACCTAGGAGAGAATATTTGCTGTATATAAGAGCAGAAAGATTGGGTCTCTACAGATATCGAAATGGCGACAAAAGAGCAGAAAAACCAGCAAAGGGTTTGTTATACAGGCAATCCCCAGAGAAAAAATACACATGGTTCATGGAAAGATTTTTAAAGTTTTCAACCTCAACAGTGTTCAGGAAAATGTCACACTGTATCATTTTTCACTTTGCAAAATAACTACTCACAGATTTCTAATTATCTTTTCTAATCCTTTAAAGCACACCCCTAAAAACGGAACTTCTAATATTTGTAATCTTTACAGCCTATGACTTTTTGAGTAAAAATTTTTATACTTATTGGGAAAATACATTATATATTTTTTAATAAAGGGAACATATGAATGAATTTTATGAAATTATGAGCTTTCTAGTATTTCCATTTACATAACACTTAAGTTTTAGGTTATAAGGAACATTCAACTACTCCAAACTGAGTTTTGAGGATTTTATGTCATGATTTTTGCTTGTTACCACAAAACTAATTTTTATACAAAGTTCAGTTTGACAAAATTGCAAACATAATTCTTTTTACCTTTTGGTATCAAACAGACCCATAAATCAATTTAATTCAGCCTAGCTTTCTGTGGAGCTGTTATAAAAATAAAACAGTAAACTTAAACTGGAACTGGAGTAGATTTTTCTCTAAACATGCATTTGCTGGTGGCATGTTTCTTTTTTCCTCTCTTTCCATAACCATTGTAAATGTATATGCAAAACATAGGAAATTACGATTTTCTGAAAATCTCTTAGTCTGATATCTTTTTCATAGGAAGCAAGGCAAGAAACGGCCACGCATTTCATATAAATTACTCCACTGCATGTAACAAGGGTGTTTTACATGGTGCTTAGCGTAGATCTCTTTAAACTACATGAATGTGAAAACTGGCCTGGTTAATAGCATGTTTATCACACCTCAGAAAGAAGCGATTTTATCAGAGTCAAATATAATACCAAGTTGACATTCTCTTTGCAACAACTATACATTTTTTGCTTGCAATATTCTGAGGGGCTTTTTCCATTGCTTCCATGTTGCTTGCTGATTGGGGGGAAAATTCCTTGCACAAATGGAATTTTTAAAAATATGTAAGCAGCAGATGTGAATGTGTGTCAGACAAATGGAGATTCCCAGCATCTCAGTGCTTGCTTCTAACAGCTTGGAACTATTAACCACAGGCCCAGTGTCATTTTGGTTAGATGAAAATTCACTTGAATTCACGTATAATCCCTTTCCCTTGCTTATAGGCCCTAAAGGATGATGACGCTGAAACCGGATTGACTGATGGTGAAGAGAAAGAAGAACCCAAAGAAGAGGAGAAACTGGGAAAACTTCAGTACTCATTGGATTATGATTTCCAGAATAACCAGGTCTGAGGGGGGAAATGTCTTATAATTCCATTACATTTTCTGAAATACCAGCCAGAAATTGAAACAAGATACTTCTTAAAACATTTCATTTGCTACAAGGGGAGAATGCAATTATCGAAGGTATTGATGAAATAATTTCTAAGTACAGATGGTCCCCCACTTGCTAATTTAACTTCTGGTAATTAGAATCCACAGTGTTCAGCCGATTACATCTACTATGGCACTTTCAGCAGGCAGGCAGAATACAAATTACCTTGAGGCCATCAGTCTGATTCTGAGAGTTCCTAGGCATAGATCCCTCAGCCTGAGCTACAACCATCTTCTTCGGAATTCATGGATTTAGCTCCAAATAGGGCAAGGAGCCTTCAAGTTAGACCATCAATTAAGCCAAAGTTTTGAAAAAAAAAATTTAACTGCTTGATAAAGAATCAAGGATTTAAAAATTGGCTTTCCATGAGTTTCATTTCCTTCCATGATACTGGGTAAAACTCCTAGCACAAATGAGTTAACAGTTCTAGAAAAGTAGAAAAACCAGCTAATTGACTTCTAGTGCCTTTGCATGCATCTAGAAAAGTAACCACGAAATAAAAGTGAAGTCGCTCAGTCACGTCCAACTCTTTGCCACCCCATAGACTGTAGCCTACCAGGTTTCTCTGTCCATGGGATTTTTTAGGCAAGAGTACTGGAGTGGGGTGCCATTGCCTTCTCCAGGAGATCCTCCTAACCTGGGGATTAAACCCAGATCTCCCACATTGTAGGCCGATTGTGTCAAAAACAGACCTCCCAGCTTTAAAAGTCATGAAGTGCCACCAAGATGAATGATAATATTAGGTAGTTTTTTTTAACTCCCTGTTTTCATGGTACCCCAAAGATAAATGCTTAAAAAGAAAAATCTCTTTACCTAAAAAGACCTTCTAGGATCCGTGACTTNGGAAGATCCCCTGGAGAAGGGAAAGGCTACCCACTCCAGTATTCTGGCCTGGAGAATTCCATGGACTGTATAGTCCATGGGGTCGCAAAGAGTCAGACACAACTGAGCGACTTTCACTCACTCACTCTCACTCAGACTGCCTTTATATATGTATCCAACATTTTTCTACTAATTAATTCTACTTTCACATTTTTCAATAGAAATCTAGGGGTATCTCATCCTGCTTAGTCATAATTTTGAACCTCCTACATTGGTTTTGAGTACTATAAGTATCATTTTATAAAGTAGTATTTTTAAGAATATAGCGCTGAAAAAAAAGAATATAGAATTGATTTTTTTTACTCAAACATGATGCAAACGTATTTATTCTTCCCTTTCTAGCAAATGCATTTTAGGAGGTATATCATTCTGAGCATCTATAATATTCTACCTGATAAAATTTAATATTCTGCATTTATTTTTCTGAATGTTCTCAGCTAATCTGATTTATAAAATGATTCCTGTGAGTCATGGAGTATAAAGTCTGAGGATTTTTGTAGATAAGGCTGTAATCAAATGTACACACTTGCTTACCAAAACTAAAAGACAATCCTTAAAGTCCCTTAAGAAGCTTTCACGGTGGAGAAAAATGTGATTTTTATCTCTCAAGCAGAAGCCAGAGGGGAGTTGAAAGAAGTAATTCCACCTCTTATCAACAAAACACCCACATTTCAAGTATAGATGATCGTTTAAAAGACTTTAGGCTATATCACTAGTTCTTTCCCTGCCCCAAAGTATTGCCAAAAGAGAGAAGGAGAGAATATAATCTCGCTTATTCACATTGCTAACCAAAAGCAAATTCCAAATACCAACTTGGCAAACCAAGAGACAAACTGTTTGCTTTACTAATCATGTCTTTATAAGCTTATGTCTATTTTAGCCATTCTTTGACCATCTGTCTACGTTTTGTATACTTACAATCCAGCATTATTATTACTACTGTTGTATGAAGAAGTCACAAAGATACTGAAACATTAAAATGGAAATAACAGTCTTTAAGGGTATTGGTCTAGGTTAAACATTGAGCCAACAGGCGAAAGTGCACTTATGCACATAAGGGATCAATTTTGTAGACAGTTGCTGTGACTTTTTTTTTAAGAGGTGAATTGCTTTTCCACTCTATTGGTTGAAAAAGGTACAGTCTCAAAATTTCAGACCCCATTTTAAGATGTGAACAGCTATACACTCTGCATTTTCTGAATAGTATATGCCTTGAATAACAATAAGAGTCTACTTTTGTTTCCCATATGAATCTAAACCAATCTGTTGACACAGCATGACTGATTGGCAGAGCCTCAGAACAGTCCGCTCACACCTTCTGTTTCCTTTGCAAAAACATGAACAATGCCAGTCAACACTCACATTCATAATAAGAAATAGGAATGTATCACTGAGAAAACTCAGATGTGAAGAAATGCAGAGATTTCTGCTGTACTTGAATAAAATCAGACGATCACTTAGCATTAAAAGCCATAACTGTAATCTCCCCTTCTTTTAGATGAAGCTGAAATTATTTTTCTTTGACCCTATGTCCTGTATTTAAATACAGAATTTAATATATAATAATTATTTTACTCTAAATTAAAACAAGAAGTAGCTAGCACACAAGTAAAGGTCAAATATGATACAAACTTGAATATCTTATTTTTCTCTCAAAAAACTACCCAATTTCTAAGAAATTTCTATTTAGCTGGTTTGAAGCTTTGGTTCAAAATAAAATTTTCCTGCTTTATAATTACAGGCTTGTGATTGTTTAACAACTCATTTCCACTTACAAATCACACTCTGGTTAAAAAAAAATAAATAATACACAAGGGCTTTTAGCAACTGGGAAGTTATTTGATTGCAACCCATTTGCAAATATGAATTCCATATTTAAATGTAATCAGCAACCTTTTAAAAGCCTCTTTTGTGTTTAAAACCAGGCTTCCTAGAGCCTGCGTCTGTCATAATTGGGTTTCTGAAGTCTGGGTGTATTATTTCATTTGCCTTCTGTGTTCAGCTTCTTAAGAGAATAGAAGTGTATCAAAAGCAAAGAAGAAAAGAGCAATCATAATATGCAGCCTTGTGAACAAATCAGTCTTTTCCAACATGTTCACCAATGCCGGTGGTGGCTGTCCTCCGCCTCTCATTTCAGCTGCTGGTGGGAATCATCCAGGCTGCCGAGCTGCCCGCCTTGGACATGGGGGGCACCTCTGACCCCTATGTGAAGGTGTTTCTGCTGCCCGATAAAAAGAAGAAATTTGAGACAAAAGTCCACCGAAAGACCCTTAATCCTGTCTTCAACGAGCAATTTACTTTCAAGGTATTTTTTGTGTGTGTATTTACTATTGAACTTTTTCTCTGTTGTTTTAGATAACAGACCAGTCTCATCCTGACACATACAGCTACATGCACATGACCACTTTCAGAGACTCACAAGTGATTGATTCTACTCAAAATATTTATAATTCTTATTTTCAGTGTAATGAGGACTCTTATTATGCATTTAACTTTGATCCAAATAGGATTCAGCTCAGCTATTTCAGAATAGATTGTGACTGGCATAGAACAAGGATGTCATTCGTGTCCAAAAAGTGAGTTCAGCTTCCAGTCTGTCCATGGACCTGAACGTTTCCCCCTCTCTAAAATAAAGCCAAAAGATTATAGACTTTTCCCAGGTTTCCAAGTTTTGAAAACCAATCACAACCACACAATAAAGTAAGCTATCCAACATTATTTCAAATGATACAAATAGATATCACTCTCATTGCAAAATTCTTTGTGTACAAGGCCAATTTGAGTATTTGAAAACATTCTAAAAAGAATAGGAGCCTATAATTTTTTTCCATCTCTAGCATTTTTCCTTTCCTCTTGGCTCTTCCCTGGTGTTCTTCACCTTGTTGAGACACCTCAATTAACAAACGATAACAAAGAGGGATTCTGGCCCCAGAATTACTCAACAGGAAAAGGTCCCTGGCGGGCTTCAGGCATCTCCGTATGTACAGGCTCTGTAGTTCTCAACCTGAAGTCATGCATAAAAGCAGTCTCTTGGTTGGTATCTTTAACATGTGAAATTTTTTAATGCATTCCTTAAAACAATACACGTCTGTGAATACGCCAGCAGGCAGATTCAGAATCACTCATCTACCAGCCAGCCTCAGCGATAGCACACGCTGCATGTCAGCAAACATCCTGGTATGAAATAAATGGATGAAACTTCAGGTGTGAGTCATTCTCATGAACCTTGCTTCTAGTTTTCTAAAAGAGTACTGACTTTCTATTCACTCCAAAATTTGAGTTTGTAAGACAAGAAAAATCCCTCATGTGTTGTCAGCAATCCTATTTAAAATCTACACTTTTCTAAACCAAGACAGTTAATGTAGAGTAGCTCTAGAAACATTCTGAAACTACTCAGTTTAAGAAAAACTAATCATGGGGATCAATATGCCACAGAATGTACAATGAAAACAAAACAAAACAAAAATATTGCAAAAGGTAATCACAATCATTATGTTTAACTCTGTGTGGATCTTAATTTAGGTCAGTAGTTTCTAGCCACCATTTAGACAGCACATTCTTAAATTATTCGAAATATTGTGGGGCTTCATTTTGAGTATCTATATGCTATTTCTTTTTTAAAATATGTACTGCTAATAATTTCTAGCAATGTCTATAGCTTCAAGAATTATAATCATTGGAGATTTTGAAATTGCCTATAAAATTTAATCAGGTTCCATTTCATTTTAGGAGAGTTGAGCACATCATAAATCAAGCCAAAGTATAATGTATTTTCATACATTTAAAAAATGCACCACTGTTTCTAGAGAACTAGCCAATTTCTCCTTTTAGGCCTTGTAGATTATGCATCTTAAATGGAAGCAAAATAGTTTAAAGGGGATTGGCTTTAAAATTGAATTCAAATCCACTGAAAATGAACTTGACATGCCCCAAATGAAATGGTCCTTTTCTCCACAACAAATGCCCACTTGAAAGAGCTACTTATCATTCAAACAATAAATATTTATTAAGTACCTGCAGTGTGCCAGCACTGTGCTAAATGCTTTACATGTATTCATTTGGCCTCAACCAGCTCCTGTGAAATAGACACTATCATCATCATTCAAGGTTTATTTACTTGTCCCAGGCCCTTCAGCTGGAAAAGGGGGAAACCCAGGCTTGGACCTGTCTGACCTCCAACTCAGGTTTTTGACTAATGTCATTTCGTACAATCACCAACAAATCTAGACAGACTTCAGAAATAAGATGCAATTTTCAAGAGTTCATCCCTACTCTAAAATTAATTTCTTTCTTTACAGTCATCTCTTTGCAAGGATTTACTTTTTCATTCTAAAGTGGAAAATGTGTTATGCCTGGTTTTTAATCATAGTATTTTAACCCAATTCCTAATAGATGACAAATGATAGAAAACAAAAGCTCTTTGGAAAAAAAACAAAATTTCTTGTATATATACGGTCAAAAAATTCTTCCTTCTCCTTTCCTTCTTAATATACAGAATTAATTGAGAAATGTTTGCTGGAGCATAAGACAACTATTTACACTGATAAAATAATAACAAGTGTCTGAAAATTGATGAAACCTTCAATACAAGTCTAAACAATTTCCTAATTAGGCATTTCTTCCCAGTTACTGAAGTGAAGCTTACTTGGAATTGCCCTGCTTTCTCTGAATATTAAAAATGTCACTAATAAACATCCCAGCCCATAGCATCTGTCCCAGATATTTTTGAACAGCTGGAGAATTCATCAGTTTTTGGCCTTTTGCCTCCGCTCATCCTAAAGAGTGTCATTCCTAAGAATGAACCTCAAGATCTAGATTATAATGGATCTGATATTCAAAACATCAATTTTCTAGTCAGCTCCTGTCAATCAGTAAATTATTTTAAGGAATAGGGAAGGCACCTTGTGAATTTCATTGCAATCCTTACTCCTAGCATGTCTTCTCATTAAGCATTGCTTCATCAAACTTTGGTGTCCAAATGGCCTCAAAGAGTTAATAGAACTTTTGAAACAACTCCCCCTGAGTAAGTTGCCCCCTGACAATATAACTTAACAATAACAACAAAACATCCTGCAAGAAAAAATTCCTTATATAGTCAAGTGCAATCAGTTTGGTTTATTCCTGTGTTATTCTTGAGGTATTTCTAGCATGACTAACAGCAGGAGTCATTATTAATAACACTAACAGCTTCTAGAACTTCGGGAGAAAGTGATAAATCACTATGGTAAGCCCTCACTTTCACCCAAGTAATTTAAGCCCCAACTAGTTAGTCAAATGATTCAGTTTAAGGGGGAAAAAAGTGCTACTTTTCTCCCTGTTCTGTTTATCCAACATAAATATTAAAATTAAACACTATGAAAAAGTAGCATATTTTAAGCATTGTTTGTCACTAGATATTTTATCCTGGTCTTTTTTATTTAGGTGCCATATTCGGAATTGGGTGGCAAAACTCTGGTGATGGCTGTCTATGATTTTGATCGCTTCTCTAAGCATGACATCATTGGGGAATTTAAAGTCCCCATGAACACGGTGGATTTCGGTCACGTAACTGAGGAGTGGCGTGATCTGCAAAGTGCAGAGAAGGAAGAGGTAAGAAAAACATTAGCATTTCTAATATGACAAGCTGGACTCGCCAGTTGCTACTCTCAAACTAACCTACTGAGAGATGCTGGGCTGATGTGAGTAATGTGGGCCTCCAGCTGCTGACAGCTGGCGAAATAGGGTCATGGGATTGTATAACCTTGTTAGAAAGTATGCAGGTCTACTGAGTCTTATTTAAGGGAAAATAGAGATTTGTGCAGGTCTTGGATCATTCCCTGGAGCCAGACACACATACACACGCACACACACTTCTTTAAAAAGACAATGAAAAAGTCATCTTATCCTTTGTATTTTTCTACAAAGATTTTTTTTTCTACATAGCTTATGTAGCTATTAAATAGAAATGAAATGGCACTTTTTCATTATTTCTGCATATCACAGACAGGTCACTGTTTCTCCTAAAAATTTCAGAGCACAATGGGTAAAACATCAAATAAAATTCACAAAGGTAGATAGATATTAAATCCATTTTTTAAATGACTCACATTTTTATAGTATTCTTCACATTGTTTTTCCCCAGTTTTAATAGGTTAGTCCAGGATTTTTCTGTGATTTAAAAATGGGAAATTCAATATCCTTAGTGCATTTAAACTTCTCTATGATTATGCTATGTCAGTCTAACACTAGCATTTTTCTCTGCTAGTATCTCAACAGGTCAATACCAGGAAAGCAAACAACTCTTAGCTTCCCTTAATTGTTAAAGCAACTCCTTTCCCAACCATTTTTTGTTCCTAACATAGTCTATAATTACCCGAGGGATTTCAATTGCATTTGTCATTTAGGATCCCTAGACCCATGGATTTTGTAAGGTTTGGTCACTTTGGGGCCACCAGGGAAATCAGAAAGTAAGCCAAGCCTTCAGAGAAACTCAGCCAAGACCATAACCTGGGAATCCTTTCAATCTAAGGTTTTCTGTGACCATTATTATTACTCAGTGAAGCTTTAGAACAGTTTGTTTACTACCATTCTGAAATTGAATTTTATTAGTGCTCCAAAATTATTTCTAGGTTGTACAAAATAAGTCAAAATTGATTTAAGTTCTGCTTTTTCTTTGGAAGGAAATATACATAACTTACCCAAATAAGTTAGTCAAAATTAGACTCCTGGACACTGAAATACATTGAGCCCCACTGTGGATAGAACCACCCAAGGATAACATTGAGTTTTTAAGCTTTATAACTTTTATAAATTGTTCTTCCAGATGAGTAGACCAATATCTATTTTAATATCCAATATATGTGTGAAAAACATTTACTCACTTGATCATAATATTTCTAATCATAACAAAGTAGTGAGCTGTTCATTGAATTTTTATCTTTTATTGGCATATTTGACTATGTGTAAATTCCTTGTTCAATTCAGTCACTCATTCGTGTCCAACTCTTTGCAACCCCATGGAATGCGGCAAGCCAGGCCTCCCTGTCCATCACCAACTCCCGGNCTCATGATGTACTCTGCATATAAGTTAAATAAGCAGGGTGACAATATACAGCCTTGACATATTCCTTTTCCTATTTGGAACCAGTCTGTTGTTCCATGTTCAGTTCTAACTGTTTCTTCCTGACCTGCATACAGATTTCTCAAGAGGCAGGTCAGATTGTCTGGTATTCCCATCTCTTTAAGAATTTTCCACAGTTTACTGTGATCCCCACTATCAAAGGCTTTGGCATAGTCAATAAAGCAGAAATAGATATTTTTCTGGAACTCTCTTGCTTTCTTTATTATCCAGCGGATGTTGGCAATTTAACCTCTGGTTCCTCTGCCTTTTCTTAATCCAGCTTGAACATCTGGAAGTTCATGGTTCACATACGGTTCATGTAAATTCCTTGTGGCCGGGGCTAAAATGGGACCATTAGTATTCATTAGCTGATAGGTTTTTGTGAATTGACTATTGGTTGGCTTATTGGTGAATCCCAGAGGTGACCCACTTGTTCTTCACAAGTCACCTGTCCAGAGTGCACGGCTCATGTCTCTTCCCTCTACCTGCTCATGTCAAGTGATATAGGATTCCAAGACCATACCCCACAGGTCTCTGAAAAATTGGTAAATATTTTTGTGTGAATTAGGAAATATAAGCCATTGAACCATTTTTTTTTCTTAAATTCTTTGAATATGGGCAGAGTTTGAGACTTGACACTAAGCTGACAGGTTTGACTCTAAAATTTCCAACTTTAGGTAGACTGCCCAAAAAGAATCACATTTTTATTCTCACCCTTGACTTTCCTGTTCTCTATTTCTTTCATAACTTTTTCCCTCCATGACTTCTCTCCCTGTAGAAGATGGTTTTGTCATTCAACGTATTCAAAATGACTCATTATGCAGATGTTTATTATGTAATGCTGTATTCATGGGACTATGCCAAGTGTTTAAAAAAAAAAAAAACAAAAAAAACGTGAAAAGGGTGGACACCATTCCTGCTTTCATGGAGTTCAATGTTGTCTCATTTTCTTCTCTCATTTTAATCTTTGCCTTGCTTATTGCTAGCTAGACTGATTTCTGTAAAAGTCTTGCCTTTAAGATCAAACACACCTAGGTTTCAATCCTCATCAATACATTTACTAGCTCCGAGTCCTTATAAGTCAAGTCACTTATGCTCTCTAAAATTCAGTATTTTTTTTTAATCTAAAAAGTGGTCTAACATTATCTTGTAGATTAAGTAGGATAGAGTATAAAGTGGCTAGCATGGGGCCTGCTATTTGGTATGTTCAATAAGCAAGCGATCTCCCATTTTTTCTTCCTACCCTATCTTTTTGGTGCCCTTTCTTTCTTAAGCTTTCATCTCCCTATTTGTTCTCCACTCTTTCCTCTGTATGTATTTCTCTATTCTTTTTCTCACTACCACTGTATTTATTGAATGTCTCTGGAGGTTTTTAATGGGAAATAATTCTACAACTGTATTTTTAAACCCTGGAGTCTTTCCTCTTTGGGAATAATGATTTTTGGTTTTCAGTCGAGTGACTGTTTCCTTTTTCATGATATAGGAAACCTTATAAAGCAGATGTCTAGTTTACAGAGCATCTCTGGATGACTAGATCCAGATATAAACTCTCTCTTAATAAATAAGATTCCAATTACATTTTATGTCTAAAGAATTACTTATTGATATGTGCTCTCTTTTCATGTTACTGTTCATTACTTAGAGAAAAGTATAGTAGGATGAATAAATGGAAGTCTTAGATTAACTTTAGTTCTCATGGTTTCAAACAGATTTTTTTGCACTTTACATGAGCAATTTTGTTTAAGACTTTTTGTTTTGCTTTCCTCTTAAGTATTAAATCTTGTTTTTTAATGTCACAACGATTGAAAGACACCAAAGAGAGACAGGAAAAGGAATTCAAGAAACAGATCTGGAATCTATTGAATAGAAACTGAACTGCTGTTCAGAATAGTCTGTTCAAGGAGAGACTTGCATTTAAATAGGTTAATTACAACCCACTAGGATCTAGCCCTGAGATAGAAGGGGGTAGGCTTTGTTGTTGAAAGTAAAAGTCATAAGATGATGAAGCAATTATGTAAATTAAAGAATTACGTGTTCATTATGTAAGCTAAAAAATTAATGTGTTATTTTAGTGAGCAATTAAATGTGTAAGCAACTTGGGGGAATAAATGGAAAGGAGCCTCATCTGAAAGCTACTGAGCATATGTTTGAAACACAGGGGGTGTTGCAAAGGTGAATTATGCCAGAAGAGCCTTAACATGCACACAACTCCCATTGATAAGATTCTAGCCCCTGGAGAAAACCTCTCTGCTAAAGTTTCCATTCCGACCTGATTGCTGCTGCTGCTGCTAAATCACTTCAGTCGTGTCCGACTCTGTGTGATCCCATAGACAGCAGCCCACCAGGCTCTCCCATCCCTGGAATTCTCCAGGCAAAAACACTGCAGTGGGTTGCCATTTGCTTCTCCAATGTATGAAAGTGAAAAGTGAAAGTGAAGTCGCTCAGTTGTGTCGGACTCTTAGCGACCCCATGGACTGCAGCCCACCAGGCTCCTCCGTCCATGGGATTTTCTAGGCAAGAGCACTGGAGTGGGTGCCATTGCCTTCTCCATCTGACCTGATTAACATTTCTCTAATTAACATGATCCAAGTCCCCTTACTAGTAGTTTAGGTTCACTTGCCTTTTTTTTTTTTGACTGATCACCCACTCTCCCACCTCCCACAGAGGAAAAGGGAATCTGACCTTGCAAGACAGTTAAGCCTTTCTCTTCTTTTTGTCTCTTTAAAACAGAAATCCTTTGAGTTTCAAGAGACACTTACACATAAAACTGTTGTCTTAATTTCCCCCTTCTCAAGTTAAGGCCTCAAAAATCATCCTTTATAATCAGTATATACAGTTCTTCCATTTGCAAAAGGTTTCTAACATGTATAGCCGCCGACTGATGAATTTGAAATTTTTTTCATTCTAATCATTCAAGAAATATTTATTTATGCCACCCACAAGTCAAACCTGAAGCCAACCTTACAACATTTGGAATAATCCATTCACTTAGCATTTTCACTTAATTACTTCAAATGTTATGATCAATAGCTTATGGTTCCATTTTCTTTTTTTAATAAATTTTATCCATGATCATTGTAAAAACTGTATCAGTCCTGTACCCCAGCATCAGGTACATCTTCAAGGCCTTTAGACTATTTTAGCATTTATTCCTAGTTTTTTATCCCTTCCACTGCATGTGTGCATGCTGAGTCACTTCAGTCATGTCTGACTCTTTGTGACCCTTTGGGCCATAGCGCACCAGGCTCCCTTCATGGGATTCTCCAGGAAAGAATACTGGAGGGGATCCTCCTCCAGGGCATCTGCCCTTCCCAGGGATCGAACCAGAGTCTCTTAAATCTCCCGCATCGGCAGGCAGGTCCTTTACCACTAGTGCCACCTGGGAAGCCCATGCCTTCCACTACTGCTTTTTAACCCTTAAAAAAGGCATAAGATACCACCAGAATGCAACTGGATCCCTTTGTTTTTGAAGGAGACTGTCTCATAACTT